TTCATGTATATTTCAAACTCAGAACCAGATTTCAACCACATGGGGAAAGTAGGTAACAATATAGATTGCTATTAAACTCTGATTATAAGAAAGACATCAAAATAAAAGCATATGAGGCAGATACTGTTAAGATATATTATGTTGTATAAAGCATAATCTATTTAATAACTATTTCCAAAACAAGATATCGATCAAAAGTAGTTTCAAAATGTCAATTAACATGATAAATATCACATTCACAAAATTTCACAAGTAGAATTGTATTGATTATAGCATGTCTCTTTCCTGAGCATCTACTGAAACACTACTCCATATTCTTGCTTGGCAACTCTACCCATTGGTTCATTGGCAAAGAAAAAGGGAAAATCATAGTCTTAAAAGTTGGTTCTTGATTTGCAATTTCTGGTGTATATTATTTATTTATTATGCCATTGTTATTTACTTATTATGCTGTTTACATTTCATTATGTCATTGATTATACCCCCCTCCACCACACACACACAGACATGCATACATCTCTCTGGAAAGAAGCACAGGGAAGAAGAGAAAGGAAAAGAATAAAGAAAAGAGAGTGAAAAGCACTAAAAAGGGAAATGAAGAAAGAAGAGAGGAAGGAAGGAAAAGGATAGGAAAAAGAGAAAGAAAAAAAAAGAAGTATGATAGATGAGCAAAAGTGAAGAGTTAATTCCATTAATGCTAAAGGTAAGAACCAGGACCTAGGTTAAAGTTACAGGAAGAAAACAATGACTCCATATGAGAATTTGTTAACAATTAGAGATTTTCAAACAGCAATGGACAGCCTTATGAAGTAGTGTACTCTTTAGAGCAACTGTTGAAGCAAGAAGTGGATAATCGGCTAACAAGAATATGTTGAGGAATTTTCTGCATTGCTGAAATAATATACTAAATGACTTACAAGGTCTATCCTAGTACTAAGATTCTACTATTTAACATTCATTGTGAAGATTTCCATTGTCACAAATACATGAGTGTAGAAGTGTGCTCTTGCTCTCCCCCATCTCTCTCTTTTTCACCTAAACACACACACACACACACACACACACACACACACACACAATTAAATCTTAATTAGGACCAAAGTAATTACCTAGAATAATTTACAGTTCTTTCAGGTATTTCCATGTAAGCATCAGAAAATAACACTCATCCTAATGTGAATAAAATCTCCTTTGTTCACTAACTCCACGATGTACTTTTCTTGTTTTGCCATGTAGTTCTTGGTAAACTATTTGAGATTCAGAAAATGTAGTAATCAAAAAGGGTTGTATTAAAGCCATTTTCAAAAATGTGGTAATCTATTCAACAATCATTTATTTTGAAGGTCAAAGCTAAGATTTTGAAGGCTTAAGAAAGGATGTATATCAGAAACACAATTCTACTGAAAACTATACTGAATGCACAATTCTTTACTCAGGAAACATTGCTTGAGCCTTCAAGTCTTTCAGTTAGTCTCTGATCTGACAAACTCCAGAAGATATTATTTCCCTGACTATTTATTTCTTTCTCTGACTTTTTAGAATCAGAAGTTAAAATCAATAGTTGCCCTCTGTGTTCTAAAATTAGTTTTTCTCATGTGGAGGAATAAGTGTATTTTCCCCTTTATGTTTGTTGGTACTACAGTGTTGTCACAATATGCCAAATTCAGATGTTATATAAATTCAGGTTATTAAGAAAACAAATTTGTCAAATATATTCAAAACAAATTCTTGAGGTTTCATGTATTGATGCCATATTTTAAAATAAAATTCCATATGGTGCTAGCCTTCTCACAAAATAGAAGATGCAGCATTTGGGATGTATATTGACCTATAAATTATTTCCCACATCCTCTGCTTTAATTCATTAACTGTTTAAAATGTGTGCCTAGTGTATATTGCACAGCTCTTTTCAAAAACAATAGGTTAGTACATAGTGTGGTTCAGAACATCCAAATCATGTAAAGCACCATTCTCTGTAAAATAACAAAATAAAAAATGTGGGCATAAAGTATGAGAACTCTAACAGAACCATATAGGAAATTTCAACACTAGAGGAATTGTCTGATAAAGTAGAAACATAATTGAATATTTTTCCATGAAAATAATAATTATGGAGACTATATGAAAATATGGAATAAGATTTCAAATACATGGTTATGCAACTATGTAAAATATAGACATTTACATATAAAGAGGATAAGCAGAAGTGAAGAGATTTTAGAGTTTATATGGTTCTTGGACACTGAAGTCCATGTATAAGTGAAGAATTTATAACTAGATTTCTTAGAAAATAGTATATTCATTAGTACTTCCCAGAGTAGTTAAAGAATAGATTTTCTTTATTTTATAGAAGTATAGGAGAGGACTCATAAAATTTAGGTGATGTACATGTACTGTTAATTAACCAGTGGGGAATTGGACATAGAAAAGATAATACCTGTATGTTAATCAATAATTATTCTAATATGCTGCCATAATTGAATTTATTATCAGTTTTGCAAGAATTATATCATTTGACCTTGAGTGCTAAATAATTATGTGGCAAAATGTAGTACACTGGTAATATTATTGCCTTATGACATTGCACATTAAACTGAAAATTACCCATAAGATTGTATACATGAAAAGGACATTTTTAAAAATTATAATGAATTGTTATATAGAAGTCAACTTCTAATTTATATGATTCATCTTAAAGTTATAATTTTTCCATAAAACTCCATTAATACACTATTATACTACAGTTCAAGAGCATTAATGACATTTATTAATGGTAGTTTATTAGTACTAATATGACTCAATTTAAATAATGAATTATCTGAGCACTTTTTCTTATTTACCATGCTATCCACTTCTGTTTTAGCTTATAGCACACTTCTACCTTTTAGCGACTTCTGTTATTATCATCACTCATTTTTAAAAATACATTTTAGTGCAATAATGCTTTCATTGAAAAGCTGGAAAGAGTTTTAATATAATTTCTAAAGTACTTAATTCCTTGGGAGAACCAAACTTTTCATTCTCACAAATTTAAGAAATACTTTATCTTTACGATGCAAAGGCAACATTCAGAAAGAAAATACCAAACCTAATACTTGAGCCTTTCTTACAAATTTAAAGTATATTTATTTTAATCATAGAGAATCAATTTTTTCAAATTCTATCCTCACCTGCAATTGGTTCATTTGAATAGATTTCTGGAAATGAGTTGGAAAGACATTGTGAGTTCATAATGATAATTCCAATATGAGTTTACTATTACAGGGTTTTTATGTACCTTCATTGATCTGATATCTGTATCCGTTTCCTGTTGAAAAAAACAAATAAACAGACCTAGTCCTCAGTAACACCATATTACTCATTTGCTTTAACCCTCAACATACACACAAGGATTCAGATTTACAATACGAATACTACCAACAGCAATATCATTACTAAAAACAGTTTAGTAATTTTTGCAGATTTTTTTTAATCCTTAAAACTACTTCTTTGGGATATACACTAAGTTACTATGTTTTAAGTCACTTTAAGTAGTTACTCTTGGAAGCTGTGCCTCAATACACAGGTTTCATTTTTCTTTTAATTTTTGGATATTACTTTTTTAAATAATTTGCTTTCTAACAATTTAACTATTCACAGAGTTCCAAAGTAAATCTTCAAGGGAAGGCAATATTGAGACTTCTATCTTCTAACCTTATCATGTCCATCCTGTTGCTTACCACCCCCAAGGATGACTATTGTTATTATTTTTTTATTCTTAGGCTTATCCTTACATTGTTTTTTGTACATTTTCCCTCCTTACTTTTTTTATTTAAAAATATATCCTGAAAAAACTCCATTTTTAATGGAGTATTTATAGTCATAATTCTCTGGTGAATGTAGCCTAGGTTTTCAACCCATCCCTTTTTGATGGACAGTTAAATTATTTCCAATCTTTACAAATAAATCTCAGTGAGTAATCTTATAAATGTGTCTCTCTGTGTTTGTTCAGTGTGTTTTTGGGATAGATTCCAAAAAGCCCAAGTGTAAATGAACATATAATTTGCCTCAAATTGTTAAATTTTCCTTCATAAAAGTTGTACTGTTTTGCATTACCACCGACAGTGTACTAAAGTGCTTTTCCCTAAAGTCTAGCCAATAGAGCTTGGTGTCAAATTTTTGGATTTTTGCCAATCTGATTAGTGAAAAATGATACCTCAGTACATTCAATTTGTATTTTTCTTTTTATTAGTGAAATTTAACTTCTATGCAAAAACCTATTGTTTTAAAAATTGGAATACTTAAAAATGAGTATTTTGTTAGAGAAAATTATGATATATAAATCCAGGGAAATCTTGGAAGTCAAATGCAAGATTACCTTAGATTAGGATTGGGTTGCTAATACAATGTTATAATGTTATATAGGGGAATAAAGACATACTTCTGAAAATAAACTTCAGAAGTTAAATGTTTCAATTTTATTCAAATGTCACAGAAACCATGCAAAAGAAATAATTTTCACTTTGATATGCAATAAGTTACTAAAGATAAGATGTTTGTAATATAAAGTTTTATAAAGTACTAACAGTTTACAAAGTATTAAGTCTTGAAGAGAAAGAAAAGCCTATAAATGATCTTGTAATTTCAGAGTATTTTTCTATAGTAGATTTAGATCTGATAAAATACAGGATCCAAATGTATTTTACCTCATGTCATAGACTAAAACCAAAGCCATCTTAAAGAAAAATCTCCTCTAACAAAGATGAAGATGATGAGTTCTGGCTCTTATTCTTGGACTATTTGAGTTTTTCCTATGTTCCCTAGTAGTGCTTCTAAATATATTTTAATACTTTATTTGGATTAAATAGAGTAGATCCTGAGCCTTTCTTATTAATCTGACATCAACAATTGCTATCCGCTTCAACAAGAATTATATTTTCCTTGGAAGACAAAATATTAAAGAAAAGATGATGGAGAATGATTCCTGCCAATTAATTCTTAGTTATTTTCTTTCCTTTCAGCACCTTCCCTGATAGGTGTGGTAAGGAAGGACTGGGCATCCCAAAATAGCATTGCCCTATCATGGCAAGCACCTGCTTTTTCCAATGGAGCCATTCTGGACTACGAGATCAAGTACTATGAGAAAGTAGGTCTTATTTGGAGCTTCCTAAAGAAACTATATATACATATATATGTATATATGTATATATTGAGCATGTTGTTATATTATTTTACTTTAAAACCTGTTCTGTGACATAACCTCATACCTACTATGTCTTTCAAAACTCTAGTTTACTACTGTGCTTATACTTTTCTTAATTTGTCTTGTTTTATGTCAGATGATAAAGTTAAAAGACATAAGATGTTCATCTCTGTCATGATTTACTATAGGGATTTTTCCAACATAGTAAGAGGTAATAACTCCTTCAACTTACAGTTTAGCTGACATAACATTGTTTCTAAAATTCACTTGGAAGACATAGTAAAATGGAATTGCTAGAACCTAAAGAAGGAGTTTGTATAGCCTATATTGTTTGCCAATGAGTTACAGTTACAATTCTCTATAATTTGGAAAGGATGATTTAAGGGATAAATGGAGTTTTACATTTAGGTCAGCCGTTTTACTTTTTTAAGAAGCCGCCCAGATAAATCTGGTTTATAAATCAACTTAATCTTATTCATTTTTGTCATTTAAAATTGTTCTCAATTACTATATTTTCCCAAATTATATACTTCCTTACCTTTCTTGCATTCACATTCTTTCTTTATGTGTTTTTCCCTTTATTCCTCACTATTATGATATTGTTGCTATAGATATTATAGGAGAGGACATAACAATTCTAATATGTCTCATTGTGCTAATACTGCTCTGGAATATTGATAAAGGGAACATTAAATTTAAAAAAAATAATGTAAAAATTATATATAATTTCTAGTTGTATACTAAAGTAAGAAGGAACTTCTTGCATTTCTGTAAATTACTAGAAGCAAAGGAACATCACAAATTTTTATTTCCTTTGAAAAAATATAGGTCAAGAAGAGAAATAGAAGTCTATCTTTTCCTATTCTATTGATTCTGAGCAAATGTATGTTTGAAAAAGGGAGAGGTAACTCAGTAGCCTGCCTGTACCCATTTTTGACCATCTAGTAATTTCAGCATTATGTAGTCAATGAAAACTGTCGTTATCATGATGAATGCACATGAGTAACTCCATAGTCTAAGAAAAGAGAAATTTACTGAGTTTTAATTGGATTACAGATTGTGCACATTGGCCACACCAGCATGTGCTCAGAAATCCTGCTGAGCTCTCCTTTCAAACGTTACAACCTCTAGCATGCTGTCACAAAGTAAACATATTTTCTGTCTACTAGATTAAGTAGATCTTTAGATATGCAAAAATTCTCATTATTTAAAAAGCAATGGGCACAAATATATCAGCAACTTTTCAGAATGAAAATATCCCTCTATGCTTTATAAAGGCTATATTTTGTACACAGAAAATAATTCTCATTTTATAGTCATTTATGTTTCAAATGTTGTAAGATGAAGATAACTTGTAATATTTCCAATTAAGGACAAATCATACAGATTCTGTAAAGAGGGAACCATAATCATCCAATCAAAATTTTAGAAATCAATAAAATTCTGAAAGATGCTGGCATAATTTTCCCGTTTTAATGGTGGAATAAATAACGTGATGAGGGAGTCTATTTTTTAAGAAAATGGCAATGATGCAGTGCTAATGGAGTTACTAAACTTGTAGTAAACATGGAGGTGGAAGCCATGGATTCCTAGTTCATGTTCTGATTGTGATGCTCATTATGCCTATGGCCAAGAAAAGTCAATTAATCTTCCTATGTCTCACACTTCACTTTTACAAAATGGAAATGAAAGATATCAAGTCTTCTAGTGGGTTGTAAGGATTAATTTTATAAACAGACCCAAAGATGAAAATCAGTATTAGAAATCATTTAATTTAATTTAAGAATTAGCAGGCGCCTGGGTGGCTCTGTTGGTTAAGCGTCTGACTTTAGCTCAGGTCATGATCTCATAGTTTGCAAGTTCGAGCCCTGTGTAGGGGCCTCTGCTGACAGCTCAGAGCCTGGATCCTGCTTCATATTCTCTCTCTCTCTCTCTCTCTCTCTCTCTCTCTCTCTCTCTGCCCCTCGCCTGCTCACACCGTCTCTCTCTCTTCAAAAGTAAATAAAATTTTTTTTAAAATTAAAAAAAAAGAAAGAATTAGGGAAATAATTGACATATAATATAACATAGAATTATTATACAATAGCATGGGAATTGTATACAAACTAAATAAAGATCATCATGTTTTCATATGTAGAGGCAACCAATCAAAGGTTTTAGAATATCAAACCTTTCAGAGAGGTTTGAAATGATTAATAGGATTAAAACCTTTCCCAACCATGCCTTTATATTGTAACTGTACATTTTACCTATTTGCTTCTATAAAGTGATTTCTCCTTCCAAGCAAATATTTTTTTAAAAACTTATAACAAGGACAACTTACAATAGAATTCCTAGTTGGAAGTGCTAATTTCCTTCTTTATTAGGAACCTAAATATTGCCAAATACAAAGAAGAGCAAAATACAAAGAAATATATGTACAAATGATGCTAATTTTGGAACACAAATATCCCCTCATATGTGTATATGTATGCATGGTTACATAAATATAGAGAAACATAGAATGGAATAGAGCGTACACCCTGCTGTTTCAAGTGTTGCGTGTTGAGTTGGAGTGCAATGGGGGACAGAAGTATATGAATGGAGGCAAGGAAGAGAGAGGGAAGTAGCAAGCTTAGGTAAATATGGATGGATGGATAGATGGATGGATGGATGGATGGATCCTAAATCTCATTGCCCATAAGCAAGCCCTGAGACAGGATTTTGTTAGCAAGTGATTAATTAAGAAAGTTCCCAGGAAAACCGACTGAAGAATGGGGAGGCAGAACTATAAGGGAGTTCTGGAGTAAATTACATCTCAGAGTTCATCCTATGGA